ACAAAAACAGTGAAATGGCAGGAACTGGGCTTCATCTGACACCAACTCCCTGGCAGCATTTTCTGCCATTCGTGTTGTTTGCACATATTTAAGTTACATAAGTTGACGTGTAAATGCCTTTGCACACTGAGTCTGTTTTTTTCGGATGCGTTTTTTGAAAACCTTACGCACCTTGCACTTTGAGTCTGATGCGTTTATTTTTCTATTAATTCCGAAAGTTTGCAGTATGAGACAAAATGCCTTGTACTCCTCACACAGAGTGAGCAAGCAGTGAAGATGATTTTGTGCTTTTTTCACACTACAAACTACAACAGAGTCCGCTCACTCCTGAAAACAAGACAAGCGCGAGGAAAGTTTGACCTGTCAATAATGAGAGTTTCACCTATCAATAAGACAGTTTCACCTGTCAATAAAAGACAGTTTCACCTGTCAATAAAAGAGAGATTCACCTGTCAATAAGAGAAATGCAGAGCACCTGTATAAAAGATCACCTGTCAATAAGGAGCAGTATTCAGGATTTCAGGATGTGGTCCAGTTTAATACGCTGCTCTCTATACTTTTACCACACATTAAAAAGAAACACCACTAATTTCCGCGAAGCAACTGATGCTGAACAGTGTCTGAGGGACACTACAGACACACACAGAAAATTTAACCCGTTCTGAAAAATATAATGACGGACGAAAGATTCGGAGTCAGTGTGCGAACATAACATCGAATTGTATATATTTTATTTAACGTGCATCAATTACGGGTGATAAAAAAACGGACTCAGTGTGAAATGGCCTTAAATGTATGTATGTTACCTCGCTTAGCTTGTAGTCTGCTCCCAGGCTTTGTCCGTATTCACTGCTTGTTTTGGCTCGCAGAAGCGTCACATTGCCGTGAAATTTAGTCACAGGTACGTAGCCGTCAGCAGCCTTCAGTTTCTCGTAGAAGGTGCTGGCTGCGAAGTGAAGCATGTCCTTGCTGATGTCCTTGTGTCTGGAGATCAGGTCCACTGCAGAGTTTACACGGGCTGCCAGGTCGCTCAGCGGGAGAAGAACCTCCACAAGCTGTCAAATGAGAGGAGGTAAGTAAAACTTGTTGAAGATTTTTATAGCAATAGACGTAGACGATGTAGCAGCCAGTATGTTCTCCTTCTAAGTTTAGATTCTGGTCCTGAATGCTCTAGATTTGTGTGGACCAGAGAAGGTAGGCGGTTTTAAGGCACCCCCACACGTTAGTTTAAGACGCCCCTCAGTGTGCCAGGCAAACGGAAACCAACAGGTCTTGCAGTGAAGGAAGCGGTTAAGAGACCTGATTCAGAAAGAGCTGATTCTGTCCGATTGTAAAAGCCTCAGCATTTCTTCAAATAAACTCCACAAGCAGAAACCTGGTAAAACTAAGATAAATATTGGATGCTTTTGAAAAAAAATGGAGAAAGGTTTCATGCAGACATGTTTCAAGACCAGAGCCGGCTAAACACTGAAGCTTCAGGTAGCCTGCTTTGCCCATGGACTCTAGCGACGAGGGAGCGGGGGTAGACAGCTCTCTACAAACGGTAAGAATCGTGTTTTCCTCAGCACTAGATCAGAGTCCTCTTTTCGTTTGACAGCACTCATCGGCTCTTCCAGTTTACTTTGTGGCGGTACTTTTCTTCTTTGTAAAAGTTTTGCTACACTCTAACTGTATGTGACTGGGTTGAAAGAGCATCTGTGTGTGTCTATGTGATTTAAGGGACTGTGTACCTTGTTGTACTCAATGCTGGTGAACTGCTGGATGAAAGCACACATGGCTTCGGTTTCAGCCTCAGACTCTTTTCCTGGTGTCAACTTGGCTCTGTAAGTCTGAAAACAAAATAATGAGTTAGCTCAATTCAGTCGCCAAATTAAGAGTCAGTACGTGCACATTTTTAATGACTGCTTTTGAAACATCACACTCTACGCTGTTTTACATACAATCTTAATCATGTCAGGCTGTTTAAAACCACCAAATGACACAATGTACGAAATATTAACCTAATTTGTTCATGTGTGACTGCGAAGAGTCAAAAAAGTGTATTAACCCTTTTTCTCACCTGTGTGTATGCTGCCACATAGGAGTGTGAGCCGTCAAACAGGAACAGGTGCTCCACAGGCTGGTTCAACATCTGGAGCTGACAGCACATCTCAAACGCCACGCAGGCGCCAAAGGAGTATCCAGCGACCCGGTACGGCCCGTTGGGCTGCACCTGTCTAATACAGTCCACATAGTATGCTGCCAGAGACTTGATGCTGTCCAGAGGAGCAGCTGGAGAAGAGAGGAACAACAATGAGCATGTTCCACCTTGTTTGATCAGGTGAATGAAAACTTAATAAAAGCAGATTTATAAGCACACATGAACACACATTTATACATCTAAAAACTCAACATGATTACTGGGAATTCCCTCACTGCGGATCAATATCTTATTCTTGGATAAGTCTTGATGTTTTTCAGTTTGTTTCTGATTCAATAAAATCTTTAAACTCCTACTTATCTGTGTGAGTAGAAGGTAAAAATAACAAAGATGCATATCATTTAGCCAAATTAGAATGTCAAAATTCTCCAAAGATGAAAAAACTGCTACCTTTGGTGCACTGCAGGCCGTAGCAGGGTGCACTGAGCTTGAAAGCGAGCGTCTTAAAGGTAGTGATGGAGCCCTCGATGGGATGGACCAGGAACAAAGGTCTCTCCTGGCTCTGAACTTCGTTCAGCAGCGTCACTGTGGAGTCGCTGGGGTTGACTAAGATCTGGGTCAGGTCAGATTCCAACACAGATTGAACACTGTTCTTTTCAGCTGTGGCGTTAGAAGATGCTAGAAAGAAGTGAAGACACAAAAAAAAAAAATACATTGAGAAGTGTACAATGAGATCCTTACTGCCTCAACAGAATAGATTTTTAATTTCTTTTTACCATTTGATCCAGTTGTCTTGTTATTAGAAAGATCTCGCAGCTTGTTGATGGTCAGCAGGCGGATCTCCCTCATGGTCATGACAATTTCGTGGTCTCGCTCCAGGGTCTGACGAACCTCCACGCCCATTAACGAGTCGAGGCCCAGATCAGCCAATGAGGCGTCAGCATTCAGGCTGCTCACATCGCGTACACCTGAGGAGTCAAGTCTACTATTTGTCAAAATGTTCCCTGATACGTTTTTCCAAACCACTTGTTTTAAAACAATACAATCTCTGTTATTATAACGCTCGACAGCTTTAAAAGTACTGAAACTCCTATTCTGAAACAAAAGCTGCAGCGAGTGAGAGAGAGCACTTTTTATAAACAAAAAAATATATCAGCAATTCTAATTCACAACAAAAAATAATCACGATCACGCCCTTTTCTTGTGTTATAGCTCAGTTCTTACCCAGAATGTGAGCAACAGTGTCCACCAGGCTCTTCTGACTCCCTGCCTCTCTCTTCACCACCATCCTCTCTGCCAGCACGAAGCTTGACATCACCGCCTGCTGCTGGCACAGGAAGCGGTCCAGCACCTCAAGACAGGAAGCGATGCGCTGCGGCAGGGTGCCACCGATCACTGTGTCATTGCCTCCCATGGTCTCCAGAACCACGCCCACGTCCCCGATGGCTCCCCATTGGACTGCCAGACCAGGCAAGCCGTCAAAGCGCCTCTTTTCACACACGCGCTCCATGGCGGAGTTGGCGTAACCATAGTTACTCTGACCGGCGTTGCCACGACCACAGCTGACAGAGGAGAAGGCCACAAAGTAGCTGAGGTCTGGACACAAGCGTCTCGTCACTCTGGAGAGGGAATGGGAAAGAGTGCATCAGGATTAAGAGAGATCTAACAGCAGTCCAATTAATCGTACAAAAAGATGGCAAGGCTCTTACTTATCTAGATTTACGGTGCCGTCATACTTCGGCTTGTTTACATCGAGGAAGAGCTGAGGAGTCAGATTCTCCAACATGCCATCTTTCAACACCTGGTAATAACAAACCAACATGCTTTGTAGCTAGTACTTTTACATGAGAAAAAAAACAGAGTTAGAGATGTCTGAATATTGAAGGGCACTGATGATGGTGACGAGGTGTCTTGGTGTTTTACCATAGCGAGATGGAAGACTCCGCCCACTTGGCCCAGTGAGCTGGACTCAGCGATCAGATGTTCGGTTCCCTCCAGCGTGCTGACGTCGTTTGTCGACACAAGCACTTCCACACCGTGACTCTGCCATTCACGCACTCGCTTTGCCTGGTAACCTAGCAACAGTTGGGGAAAAAAAGATCTAATAACTGCAGCAGTATGAGCAAAATGAACTGTCTAGTTGAACCAGTTATTATTTCAATTATTTCAGAGCCAAGCTTTGTAACACACAGTGAGGCCAGATTTATATTATTCTTTGTATCTCCATGAAGCCCTTCAGAAGCAATACATCATCGTATAATTTGGCAGCAGGCTTACCATTCCTGATTCCTGATCTGGACGTCAGCACCAGCTTGCGAGCCCCTCTCTCTGTCAGCCACTGAGCGAGCTCCAGACCGAAGCCCCCCAGTCCCCCAGTGATGATGTAAGAGTGGGAGGGGCGACAGAATGTACGACAAATCGCCGGGAGAGACAGAGGGGAGGACTTCACGACCGCGGCAGCTTTCTCTTCATGACAGACCTGTGAAGAATAGAATCAGTGAGAGGACACATACTTTCCATTCACAATCTCATAAAAATGATTCATAATTTGTGTCTTTTCTATAGATTATGACTCTTTGTTTATTACTATCAAAATCGAGGTTAAAACATACCCGCAGGAGGACTTTGCCGATGTGTTTGCCCTGAGCCATGTATCTGAATGCTTCCTCCACCTGGTCCCTCTCAAACACTGTGGTCTTTAAAGGCTGGACTACACTTCCCATGATGCCTTCCTTCAGCAGCTGGGACACTTCCTCCCACTCCTTGTTGCCCTCTTCAAAGAGAGCGTCGAGCAGGATGCCGTGGAACGCTACATTCTTCAGGAACAGAGCCATGCCTGCAGAGATCAGAGGACACAATCAACAACTACTCTGATTTGAAACTCTGAGAGAAATCTTTACAGACTTTCTGGACTTAGTCTATATTTTCAAACTGCCTGTTTTCTTTTTCCCCAAGGACTGAAACATCCAGAATGGTGAACAGAATTTTAGTATTATTATCTATTGTGTTTTTTTGCACATTAATGAAACTCCAATGAAACTGCTGATTTTTGTACCCTGACTTTACATGGAATTTTCCTGCCAGCCCCTTGTAAAATTTCAGAGTGAAGTTTGGCAGAGCTTATGTGTGAACGCAACACAAAATATCCATAAATTCACCTTGAATGAGTGTGGGGCTGATGATGTGTATATCATGTGACAGTGAGCAACCACTGAAATCGCCTTGCATGTAAATTCTCTACCACTCTTTAGTTGATACAATAACACATAGCATTGGTATTAAGTCAAAAAAGTTTTCATAGCGTCAGACTTTGCATCATCCACCAGCTTTATTAAAACCTCCCAAGGCCAGATTGCAGCCTGGCACCATCACGTTTTCAGCTTAATGAGCATTAAACATCAATCTCTCCTATAGAAAAAAACACTCGAGCTGTAGTGATTCTGATTTTAGATCACTTTTAAACAGGATTATACCATCTGTGAACTCCATGTGTGTCAGATAAATGTTAAGGATCACACAAAGAAAATACTGTCATCTTTTCGCTTGACTGGAAATGATCAGCAGTAAAACTGTTTCTAAAAGTCTGTGTCATTTCTGTTTCAGGTAGGAAGACAACTTCAAATAATCATATAATATAAATTAAGGATGGGACTCGTTTCTTTCAATAAGTATTAATGGATTTTAAAGATATAGAGCCTTTTTTTTTGTCAGTGGGAGACTGAGCCTAAAGTTTTCCTGACTGACCCAGAGGAGAGTTGTTGGACAGGTCGTATTTTCCGATCTCCAGGAAGCGTCCATGTCTGGCCAGGCAGCGAATACTGGCCTGCAGCTTCTCCTCAGCCAAAGAGTTCAGCACAATGTCCACACCTGAAACGCAAACAGAATACCAAACAATACTGTGATATTCAAATAAGTATGTGTGAGGGGTACCGGTAGCCTAGCTCAGCGCTCCATGTACAAAGGCCTAAGTCCTCCATGCGGGCGGCCTGGGTTCGAATCTCGCATGTAATTCCCCACGGTCTCGCTCCCCTATTTCTGACTATTACTATAATTCTAATTCATTCACAGTCCTGTCTTTAAAATAAAGGCATTAAAAGCCCCAAATAAGTATTTTAAAAATACATATATATACATCATTGGTTGTTTGTTCGAACATGAGAACAAATTTCTCTAACAATTTTAAAACACATTTATTAAACCTATATTTTTCCAGCTAAATAGATCTTTCTCTAGACAGTAACCTATTCTTATTTTATTTGTCTTCAAAATTTGCTTGGAAAAGGGGCTCCTTTATCCCTTTACTATAGTGTGGTATTATCTTTGTTTTCATTATTAAGATGACTCTTAAATAAGAAATCCAACAGAGAGTATGTGTTGTATTTGTGTGCAGCAAAGTACAAAAAAAGCGAACCTTTTCCCTGTGTGTGCAGCAGGATGTGTTCTTCAAATGAAGTGTCTCTGGAGTTAGCAAAGGAGTCTGCAGAGAGCTGAGGGAACCGCTCCCGCAAGTACGCACGCTTCTCTGCCGAACCTGACAGACAGAACACGCAGAGATGTTAGGGTTAAGGGAAACACAAGACACTATCTCAAAGTTATAACCAAGACGAAGTCACACATAATTCACTGGATCTGGCTCAGGCTACAGGAGTTCACCTCACCAGGCTTTATTTAAATGCCTCCCTGTGAGATTACATTAGCTCATACAAGATCACCTGAGGTGATGCAATGATCTCTATGGCAAACAGAATTATCTAAATATCTTCAAGTATTTGTTGTGCAGAACAATTTCAAGTTTTGCAGTGTTTGCAAATTTGAGAAATGAACATCAGAGCTGTTTGTCTTTCAGTGACTAGTTTCAGAATCAGTCTTCATTTTAAAACTCCTGCAGGCGGCGTTCAGCACGGAGTGTTAGGCGAGTGTGAAATACTTACCGACTGTGGTGAAGACTTTACAGTCCTTGCTCAGAGCTATGGCGATGGCAGCCTGGCCGACGCCCCCTGACCCTGAGTGGATGAGAACAGACTCTCCAGAGCGGAGCCGGCCCCGCACCACCAGAGAGTAGTACGCTGTGGCGTAGACCACCGGGACTGAGGCTGCCTGCTCCAGTGTCCTGCACACACACAGACCACACAGACCGACATTAGGACTGTCATTATCCATCTTATAGCAGAAGTTTACACGCATACATACTGCAGGGACAGATCTCAAAAAATGTCTCCTCCTCCAAGGGGGCAGTTTGAGAACCACGGCTTTGGAGGAACTTTTGTCCATGCTCTGTACAGCTGACAATTCTGATATAGAAAATATGAAGGCCAGAGTTTTGATAAAACTGATGTAGACTGTGTTGCCTTTTGAAGAGTTTTTTTTTTTTTTTACCAATGAAAGCATTCAAGACGGAGAGAAAAAATACAGAAAAGAAATGAGTCTGTGCCTCTGCTCACTATGAAAACACACACTGCTGCAGTCCTTGTTCATCTTGTTGCTGCCTTGTACCTTTTAAATATGAAACTACATCTCCTGCCTTAGTTGGAACATCAGATCTTTAATTGCAGTATCTTGAGTTTCTAAGTATTTAGCAGCTCGTTTGTGTTTCACATGCAGCATTTTTCAAACTGTGACACTGACCAGCTGGAGGGAACATCCCACAGGAAGCGTTTGTCAGCATCCACACTCGTCGCCAGCCCTTTGGCCGGAAGCAGTCCCATCACACGCCGGCCGCTGGGGTCCTGACCGGAAAACTCCATACCCAGCATGCACTGCTGCAGAGCCAGGTCACCTACAAGATCAACCATTAAGGGGGGGGGTTAGATATCTATATGTGGACGCTTCGTATTTAATTTGACCACCATCATTTCTAGTTCGATTGAAGATTAGCGACCACTCAGACACTGTGTGGTTACTCATTCTGTTTCTTCCACACATTCAGTACCTGGGATTGCGTCTGGAGGGAGTTTTCCCGTGGCCAGCATAATGTCTCTGAAGTTCAGCGAGCTGTAGAAAACGCGACACAGCTGCACGTTGGGGTTGCTGGTCACGAAGTGTCGGAGCGGGGATGCGATCCAGCGCAGGGAAGACAGGTCACCACGAGTCAACACATTGACATAGGCGTGCTCTGTCAACGCTTCATTTAGATCTGAACGCACAAAACACAGGCAAATGCTGATCCAATGGAAGTTTGAAGTAACTTACAAATATCAAAGGGCATATAAAAGATAACAATCCTGCATGTGTATTCAGGGTTATTTTTAAACAAGGACCGAACCAAAGTCATCGTCCAAAGCTGACAAAAACTGTTTTACGAATGTAAACATTAAGCATATGTACACATTGTATACAAGCACAGAAAATATTTGATGATTTTAGTACCTTGAGAGATCAGCTGGTGCCTGAAGACGCCCCAGTGTCCGTCTCTGAACACATTCATGACCAGATCCCCGTCCAGCACCGACTGCATGGACTTATGGGTCGGCTGAAGGGTAGGTACTGAAGAAGACTTGTTCAGGTTGGAAACAAATGCACAGCTGGGTACAAGGAAGGAGAAAACAGAGTAGAAGAATAAAAAAAGGGGAATAGAAAATCATACTACTTGAATAGATACTCAATCATGCTGCGACTGTGACATTTAGTGTAAATATCTCCTACCGTATTCTGTGACCACCGGGCTCCTGCCGCAGACAGTTGACCATTCCCACAATGCCACAATGATTTTGAGAGGCAGTCAGCCACACTGGACAGTCTGATGAGTCGGCAATGGTCGTCTGTATCAAAAACACACACATTACAACTGATGTCACACATACACGTACTGAATCTGACAGACTTTGAGCGGTTCAGTGTATGTGTTGTAGAATAAACACAATTCATTTTTACTTTAAAGAATATTTTTTGCAGGTCCCGTTGGTTGTTTCATAAATCACACTTACACACAGACAGTTATTAAACCCACCTTCAGTGTATCCACCCACTTGTAGTCGGTACCGTCCACAGGTATGAAAACAGGCTGTTTTTTCTCTGGAGCCTGACAGCGACAGAGAAAGAGAGCAGAGCCAGAGAAAGACTTCCGGACAGCGACCAGGCTTAGAGACGCCTCAGAGAACACCTTCTCCCACTCAGCCTGGGGAGGAGAGAGAGAACACATTATCATCTCCAGGAAATCCTTACAGAGAAACACATCTGGAAGAAAAATATTTTCATAGTTGTCTTAAAGTTGTGACTGAACCAGAACCGAGTTTAGCTTTCTAATCAGGAGAGATATGGTTCATAAGTACCAATCATAAATCAATTTCCATATCACCACCATGTTAAGAAATCATCTCAATTTAGTGAAACAGCGTATCCAAGCCTTAGTCTGAATATACAGAATAAAATGTGAGAGAGAAGTATGTCATGCATATTTAACCATTTCTAAGGTGGGCTGGAGAAAAATGAAAAAGTAAATTAAATCTAAAGAATCAGACTTAAGCTGATGCAACGCTTTAATTGATTCAACGTATCCACTAAAATGTGATTTTTATTATTTTATTCATTCGTATGTTTTGCTTTTTATGTATTTTTCAACTAACATCTTTCCCCTGTCAAACCTTTGTAGCATCTTAGTTAAATGTTTCAGATCACAGACAAGAGGAAATCAAATTCTGAAAAAAAATTGACACTGTGATTTATAACTGCAACAAAAAGAAACCATTTTTATCTTCCTTCAGGACTCGTCCAGGAAACTTGTGACATGAATGAGGATACGTGAAAGCAGGTTATGTGGGACAGCGGTTTAAAGATGTTAAGAGATGAAGTGTGAAAAGAGTTGAAACTGACAACAAATAAAAGTGAACAAATATAATAATTCTGCACTTTTTTTAAGGACATTTAATATTCTTCAGTCGATCAGATATCGTGATGTATCATTTAAATTATTAATAGGCTTTTTTTTTTTTTAATAATTTGAACATTGTTTTTTGTTTATTGTATTTTTCGTGCTTTTCATTTTGTTTTGTGTGTTTTTTTTATTTGATATGTCTGAAATAAATGTAATCAATCAATCAATCAATCAATAAATGTTTTGAAATCTGCAATTATTATCCCAGAATTGCTGTAATGTGATAGTGTCATCATTGTTGGCCACAAATTGCTTATCGTATCTTATTGAATGGAAATCCAAAGTAGTGACATTTTTATGCGTATTTTGTGCCCAATCTAATGTGAAGAGACTTCAGCTTCCAGCTTCAGAGATATACAATCAAACCGATTGACAGGATGATGCTTCTGTCAAACTCAGGAATGACATTTTTCATTGTGAAGTCTAATAAATTACACAAAAAGATGAGGAGGGTTTGAATGGTAAGGTTACTCATGCTTGGCTGAAGTGATCTAAACACTGACCTGTGTGAGGAGTCCCTGCTGGCTGCTGTTCTGAGTGCTGCTGGAGAGGAAGGCAACCATTTCTCCAAGAGTCTCTCCCTTCAGCAGGGTGTGCAGGAGAACAAACCCTCCTTGTTTGGCTGCAGAAGCCAGATTTGCCACTAGCAGTCCAGGATCCATCCTCAGAGGGCCCCAAGCGTGGTTACAGAGCACCAGGTCAGCCCCTCCCACAGCACCTCCAGGAGCTGGGCCTGTGAGGGGGTCCCACTGAGCTGAAGCCACTGCCAGTTCCTCCAGGGAGGTCTGGTGGGGTGTCAGAAGGTCTAGGTTGGATGTGGTGGCGGTGTAATCCACACGCAGCATGGGCTGGATGTTCAGGAGGGGAACCACGCGGGAGAAGAGCTGACCGTCGTCTGAGAGAGCCTGGAAAAGTTTGAAAAGTTTTAGGGTGTGACTGAAACAAAGTGCTGAATGTGACCGGAACTATTTTAATCTTACCTCCAGAACTTTAATCTTGCCAGGTGTGCTGTTCTCCATGGCGGTGTCCAGACAGTGTCTAAGTGCTGGATGGTCAAGCAGACCCTGCAGCAGGCCGTCCTGCAGCAGACACGCCCTCTCTTTCTCCACCGTCTGCTCCAGCTCAGATTGAAGATTTCCGTTTAGCTCCAGGCCGCAAAGCAGGGCCAGCAGCCGGACCAGGCCGGGCTCAGAGGGCTCAGGGCTGGGGAGGGGGCCGTCCGACTCTCCTTGAAGCCCAGGTATGGACAGTTTGACTCCTTGATTGGCCAGCTTCCTCTGCAGTCTGTGGATTAAACCTGAATGGAAAGGCAGGAACAAAAAGAAAATTGGCTGATGATGGTCAAATTGTTTTTCTCCAGGCAGAAAAAAAATAGAATTCACTTTTTTAAGATACTAAAATATATTTTGCTTGCTTTTAATTGACTTGATACTGAAACACCTCAAAAAAACACTGCAAGAACAAGATCGCTCTGTGATGAAAGCACCACTGATAGGTGTGACCTGTGGTGTTGAAGTGCTAGGAGTAAGGACTGCAGCAGTGTGTGTTTGCTTTATTTTTGATCAATTTGTTCAGAAAAAAAGCCAACAACAGTCGCCCAAGGCTAGACTGCTGAAAAGCCCTGTGTTGACACCATTGTTTTGTATTGCATTGGTATGTAAACATTATGTAAACAACCTCATCATCAACATCCATCTTGATGCAAAAGTTATCTGAAGAAAACACTGACTGCAGCAGCCATTATAGTTGGATTTTAAATGATGATAGATTATGCAAATTAACTGTCACTGCCTCCTGCTGTACTAAACCTGAACTGGATTCGTTAGCCCCTCAATACTTGCACGTCTGGTTTTGGCTCTTTTTTTTTTTTTTTTTTAAGTTAAACAGATTTTTTAACCTTTCTTGTCAGTATAATATATGTTACTTTTGGGTCTAAACTTAAGCCTTTAATATTAATAATTCACATGATAACATACATTTCCATATGTACCCATGCATCATTTACAAAATGTAACACTGCCAAAGGTTTGCCTTGAATATATATTTTGAATATAATATGAGCCCAAAGCTGTCAGCTGGTATCTCTTTGTACCTTTGCAGATCCTCAGCTGCTCGGTGTGCTTCCCGTTGGCGGTCAGACACTCAGTCTCCACATAGGGCACAAACACAAACTCCTCCAGGGTGGGGGGACTCTGCTGCTGCTGCCGGCGGGGTGCAACAGTTGCATGAAGACCAGAGATCTGGACTCCGCCAGCTGTGATGTTGTCGAGGCAACGGTTGACATGGACATTCACAGCTGCCGGAACAAGAGGAGAGCATTTTGAAGGAGTTACAGTGGGTAGAAATGTTTAAAGTTAGATCAGAGCGCAGATGGCCTAGCGGTTAGGTCGCGCCCAATTTAGGAGGCTAAAGCCCTCCAAGCGGGCCGCCCAGGTTTAAGTCCGGCCTGTGGCTCTTTTCCAGCATATCATTCCCCACTCTATCTCCCCTGTTTCCTACTGTCCTATCAAATAGAGGCAAAAAGCCCAAAAATAAATCTAAAAACAACAACAACAAAAAAGATAATCTATAACAGTAATGATCACAGACTGAAGAAAGTTTCATATAAACAGGTCAACACAAACCTTTCTTTCCGTCAGTGTACTCGCTGACCTTCTCCTGATGAACAGCTGGATCGATGCAAACTGATCGGATCCTGGTTGGCAGACGCAGACTGCGACCTGACAGCCCGACCACGATCATCTGCAGCATCGTGTCCAAAAAGGTCACCCAGTTTCCTGTCCACTGCAGCTTCCCAACATCTCCTGCAAACAGATAATTACATAACTGAGGCAAAAACAATAAGAGCTTCTTAGGCCTGGGAGATATAGCACATTGGTAAACTTCTTTTTATCAAATGTTTTCTTGATCTTCAAGAGAAATACAAAAAAAAACCCATCAATGACAGCAGGTACAGTTTAAAAAATATAATACCTGCATTGTTGGACTCTAAGATGCCCTGAAAGGTTTTCCCGTAGTCGTAGCCCCTCAGTCGCAGCTCTTTGTAGATATCAGGAGCCGTAAGCTTCATTTTAGGGTCACTGTCGTCGTTAGTAGTTTGTTGACTTATCTGACTGTGGAATGAATCGAGGGCCGCATCCTGCAGGAGGCTCACCTTACCTGAAATCACGCAGAAGATGAAAAGAAGGGAAGGTTAACGGTGTTAACTGATCTACTATGGAGAAGATATTTAAAAAACACTATTGAGATAACATTTGTTACTACTGGGGGGGGGGGCAATCGTTTTTAAGCACGGGACAACATTACTAGTGTGAGTGCGCCATAAGTCGTGCTGCTCATGCAGACATGATTGTCACGCTCTTTTGCATTTGATTTGTTTTTTCTTACATAAAAGATCCTCCCTGAACATGTTCAGGTGAACTCAATTCACCTTTTGCACCAGAAATTTTCAGTTTTTCTTAAATGTCCATAAAGAGCATTAAAGCTCTCCAAAAATGATGCGGAAATATTGCTCCCCGCATAGTTTAGGAAGAGACTGATTTGATGTGCAGCAGCAATCTAAATGACTAGATAATATATTTTAAATATAAATATTGAAGGCAATCAGTTTATTGAATAATGGGAGGCCAAAATCAGGATTTAAATAAATATATTCAAGTCTTTTCTATTGTGGATTTTGTCTTTCTGGTCTATCTGTTCCTAAAATGTCCAAAAACTGCTCTTTTTTTTTTTTACTATCAAACATTGTATGTATAATATCTTCTTACCACTGACAGTCAGATTCCCGTTCTCAGAAACCTCAAACTTGTTGGTGGCGGGCATGAGACGTACCTCCAGCTGAACAGAGCCTGAGAAGAAGAGAGAAAGGTGCAGAAAGGCCGACACCATCAGTGAAATCAGTTTATATAAAAACACAAAGTCAAACAGCTCATCAGTCTGTAGCGTCCAATATCTCCACCCCTGCTGCTCCACTCTCACCATTTTTTGGCAGAATGGTTGCCCTGTGGATGGTGACGTCTTCGAAGGTTATGGGGTTGGTTTCCATGACAACTCCCAGATTTCTTATCAAGGTACGCCAGGCCAGCACCAGGTAGCCGTTGCTGGATAAAGGACGCGCCCATCAATGCAGTGTCCAATCATGTAGTAATCAGGAGACTCTGGGTTTATGTCTGTGGTTGGTGGGAAAAGAAATGACAATGAGAACATCATGTGGTCAATTAAACAACATCTCTTCTTCTCTTTTACTGTCACATCAATATTTTTAAACTTGGGCCCTTCTGTTGCATATGTTTGGTCTCAATGACAAGTTTTGAAATATTCCAGTGGATTGCTTCATTGTGAGTCCATAAAACATGCTTTGATGACTAGATAACAGCGGTTGCCTGTCTTAAAGGCTGAATATGCGACAGAAATCAAGTATATCCTCTGAAAATAACCCTGTGAGTCATGACTGTCTACAATGAGTGTGACACCCGAGTCCCGCTGTCTGTGATGTTGTCCGAGTCGTGTCTACAGCGTGTTTACATGGACGGCCGGCTGACTCATCCCCTCGCGTATAAAAGTTGTTTAATTGAGGGACGAGAGAAAAGAAGAATAACATACTGTACTCACTGCTTTTTTAAATGAGGAAAGTACTAAAACAAGTATTAAACAAATGTATACTGCAGCACTGGAGTTCAGAAAAGTAAAATGAGGGTTTTCATCGATGGAGTTTGATGGATTTGAAGACAGAAAAGCAACTGCTGTTTCTTGGTCAAAAAGTCTCTATCTCTGTAGGATCCTATCTGAAATGTTACCAGACACTTAGAACAGAAATCTGAACCCGTTGATCAGCTGATTATATTTCTTACCGATCTTGTAGACAGTAGCAGAATTGGAACCTCCTGAGCCAGATACAAAGTGTTCTGCCTTGGGGACATCCCAGGTCTGGGCATGATCCCATTGCACCAAGGGGGAGATCAGTGGGGTGCCAACAGGCACAGGGTACCTCACTGCTGGGCAGAGGTTGTTAGTATCCACGTTGATCCTGAAAGGCAAATCAGAAAATAAGTTAAAGAGGCAGACAGTGGAAAAGGAAGTCCTCTTTACAACACTAATACAGGCAAAGTCAGAGTCAGTGTTAACTCACCCGTTCATGTAGATTTTTCCAATGTTTGAGAGGAAGAACTCGAGGTTGTTGGCGTGTCCTCTCTTCATCAAGGGGAGGATGGAGCATGTGTGCTTCAGGCTCCGTTTCAGGATGGCCTGTGCAGGAAACACATATGTAGGTTTAACCTGAAGTTCATCACAAGACTCCCCAAACTTTTTATTAACAATTCAAAAAGGCTGATAAGGACTTTCATGGCATTTGTGGTCTACCTTAAAAACCATTAAAGGTGGCAAACATCCAGTAAGCCAAAAACAGAAAGGATATATTGAAACAAAAAAAGAAAGGAAAGATGACAAATGTTCTCGTGTCAGCTATGCCATAAAAACGTAAAGTTTGAGGGCAAAATAAGAGACATCTTGCATTTATGCACACAGATGTGCATGTGAAAACAGAGATAAATCATTCATATTAAAATATGATGTTTTATTTTCAAACCAATAAGGCATTACACAAGTTTTTTTTTTTTTTAAATGTTCAGGTTCCCATTAAATATACTTAATTTATGAAGCACACTCATTTTGATATTGTAGGAAACATTTGATATCTATCTGGGTTTCAGACCTGTAGTTGTGACAATCTGGAATGTAAAAATGCTAAAACATTCCCTATGGCGTCGGAGGGCATTTCAATTGCTTTTCAACATGGTGTCCCAAAAGGTGACAATAAGATAACATACTATGTCAGCAGTGTTTTCTGTATCAACAGCATGCTGGGCGTACCTGTAGCAGAGCATGAGGTGCTATCTCCACCACCACAGCGTTCTCAGGCACCAGACGGAGTGCCTCCTGGAAGAGGACGGGGCTGACCAGGTTGTTGACGTGGTAATCCGCTGAGCTGGTCAGAGCCAGAGGAGAGTCCCATTCATCCTGCGGGATGCTGGTGCTCAACCAGCGGGGAGAGCGCTGTCGTGGCTCCTTAATCACCTGCACACAAGACCAGTGAATTCTTCTTACAAATATGAAGCAGCTCTGTTCTCTTTTCTGCTCGCTGGTATGTGTGTTTCCACTCTTTAGTGTGATGATAGTTAGAATATGAATCAAAAAGACGGCCACAGGCGGCCTTTGTCGCCACTAGTTCTTTGCCGTCTGCTTGTTCTCTACTCAGAAATGAAATATTGGTAAGGTTGGAACAAATCAAAATGGGTCTCCTAGCAGCTGTTTTCCTGGTAAAAGCAGGACTCAGAGCCTATTTTTTTTAACACATGAAAGCTACATACCTTCTTCAGAGCAGCCAGCAGGGCCGGAGCGATGGACGCCATGTAATAGGAGTGAAAAGCAACGCCAGCGCTGCGGACCTCCTTTGCAAACACACCCTGTTCTTTCAGCTCTGCCACATATTTACTGATCGCTTCCTGGAGACACAAACACATCTGTCAACGTCAGCCTTCACTTGAGAAAACTAGATAGGTGAAATCATGCTATTATTAGGTACATAGGTACAGTTATACAGGTGCTGTTATGCTTGTTAAACAAGACAGTTTGTAAATCGTTTAAAACGTCCCTATTTCAACCATCTGTCTGTTGACCTACTCCTTCATGTTCTTTCTTCTTCCCTTCATTCTGTCCTCAGTCAGGAAAGTTAACATATGAATCTAAAATGAATGCCTTGAGGCACTAGTTTAGCTTTAGTTGAAGAAGTGGGCTTGTGTCATCCCCCACTCTCTCAATCCTGTTTTCAATCTATCCACTGCCCTGTCCTCTCAATAAATCATTTGGATAAAATGATTGTCATAAAGCATTTCTAGACTTTTTTAGTTTTTTCACTTTTTAATCAGGGCATTAGAGGTATTTTGTACATAATAAACATGAGTCTCCCTAACTGTCATTTCTAGGGTACAGCTTGAAATAGAAATGATTCCAAACATGCTGAGAAACAGAATCTACTGTAATTGAACAGGATTTTTTTTTTTTCCAGATGTGAAAAAGGCTCAGATTATCAGAACCTATAAAGACCTAAATACAAAGTTTAATAAAAGATGTGTGACCTGTGGACCGGAGATGGTAACGGTGTCCTCAGCGTTGTGACAGGCTGGGACGACTCCTTGTGGACACTGAGCCAAACACTCCTGCCAGGTCAAACCTGTAACACACAGCGAGCACACAGGTCAAAGATGTGCTACAAAGAAACACGTACAAAAACAACAAGGCCGCAGCTGAGGAAAGAGGGTCAAGAATCCCAGCTGTGTCTCTTACCGACTGCAGCCATGCCTCCTGGAGGAAGGTTGGCCTCCTTGATGCAGCGTCCTCTCCAGTAAGCAGCCAGGACGGCCTCGCTGTGGCTGAGGGAGCCGTCAGCGTAGCCGCAGGCCAGCTCTCCCACCGAGTGTCCTATGATGCCGTCAGGTTTTAGACCCAGCTTAGTGAGCAGGTCGATCTCAGCTATCTGCAGGTATACACAGAACACACAAAGGATGACTAGAATGTAGAAAAGTAACTGGGCTTTAGCCTAAATGAAAAGCTGCTTGATTCCGCTTTCAAAGATAGTCGTACTGATAAAAACTATTTTTTAATGCTCCTTATAGTGCAAGAGACATCTTGGTCTTAAACTAGAAATTATGAATTTAATTTATCACCATGTTCTCAAAAAGTGTTTTTGTTTTCTTTAAATCTGCTGTCTTAATTTGTGAAGTTAACTCAAGAGGTATTTATTGCATTTGTTCACTAGTTATAGCTCATTCCTTTGTTCATGTCAAACAGACGTCAGAGAGTAAGTACAACACACGTGAGGATCTAGAAAAGAGGAAACAATGTCAGTCAGTGTTCATAGAGCTGGGTCTTTAGCTTTTTCTTAAAGGTGCAAAGGGACTTTGCAGATCCAATGCAGTTTGGTAGTTTGTTCCTCCACCGGGGGGCAACAGAGGAGAAGAGTTAGAGACTCAGGACCCTGTTGTGATCAGACTCCTTTCATTGGCAGATCGTAGTGGGCGGGGGGGGTGTATACCTGGATGTTAGAGTTTAAGTAAGAAGGAGCTGTATCTGTCTCTGTTTGTAAGCGAGAGGCAGGGTTTTAAATTTGATGCTATCAGTATCTGGGAGCCAATAGAGGGAGATGAACAACAGAGTGACATGTGCTCTGGTGACATGTGTATGTTGAAGACCAGTACATGCCAAAGAGGTCGATTGGTCTGTTGCAGCTGAAAAAGATTGGTCGTTGGTTTAGCTAAGTTGGTGAAGCAGGCGTCCCCTCTTGGATCAAGGAGATAAGTGCCATCCTCCGATATCCCTCCCCACATTAACCATTTCTCGATACCTGTCTAATCAAATTAAGGCAAAAATACCCCCCAGAAAACGTAAAAGTTTGAGACACTTGCTCCGTTGAATAGTGTAGTGTAAAGCAACTGGATTCAAGACAAGAGAAAAAAAACACCAGATTTCCAACATCGAACATATAGTCCACTCTACCTGTATGGCGGCGAGGCCGACGAAGGCGTGAACAGTGTCTTCCAAAGCGGAATCATCTGCCTCCATGAGCAGACGAGACACAACCAGGCCGGTGTCCTTCAGCGCGGCATCAGATCGCAGTATCGACTCTCTGAACTCTGGAAGCTGCATGAGACTACGACCCATACCTGCCCACTGCGTTCCCATACCTATGAATACAACCAACAGTCAAAGCCCGCCTGAAAAGACCCACCTGTCTGAGGAGATCTGAATTTGCTAGTTATTGTTTAAGCAGATAAATCTTAAGTGTTGTTCTATCAATGTTGGGTTATGATTTGTATTTAAATCGAATATCAACAAAATTAAATCTGCAAATCACACAATACTGACTAATGATGGTGTTTTCACATGCACAAGGAATTATTGATCCATTATATAAAAATGTTGAAATGTGATCCACCTGATGATAAATTCATCAACAGTTATTTCAATCCATTCAGATTTTTTTTTTTTTTTTTTAAATATCTCACTCTGAGATTTAAGTTTCAGGTTCATAACAATGGATGGGTTTTAACTCTGAACAAGGAGATTTTCAGAAATATACAGCAACATCTATCCTAAGAGGTACTCTCAAAAGCAAAATGAAACTTGTGGTCATACTCAGTAAATATTTGCCCTTCCAGATCTGTCAAGAAGCTAAGTCTATCTCCAGCGAGCAGTGATTTCCTCTACTTTCTTCATTTCATTTGACTTATCATTTATGTATTTTGTTTTTGTCATTTGTTCATTTTAATTGTACTCTCGACATCACTGTAAATGGTGTACTTGACATCAGTTATTTCTTGAGATTAAATAAAGGTTGAATGAATGAATGAATTACATTTTGATGAGTAAGATTGTCTATCATTGGCTGTAATCTGGCACGCTGTGATGCAATAGCACTAAATAGGTTGAAAAGACGCTGATTTGCAAGAAGTTATAAATCATACTTTGTCACTGTCTGCAAAACCAGACAGGCCTCAACGATCTTAAGTTTTTATGGCTTTTTTTTTAATTGAGCTTGGATTAAACTATTTTTTTAATGCAACCTCAGGTTGTCAGGAAAGTGCTGAGGCTTTGCAACACAGCCAGCTCGAGAAGTCAGGTCTTTAACTCTGTATGTAATTGCACTGTGCTAAACACTGATTGCATTAATACTGCATATTGTATATATTGCTTTTGGTCTGAACACAGGTTAAGGACATTATATGAGTTAAAAAAATCTGCTGTATTTCAAACACCTGGCTGATCACTCACCTGAACAGATGTACCATAGCGGTCTGGCAGCGCCCTGCACCTGCTGCACTTCCATGATGTCGCTCTGAGAGTCGATCAGAGTGTAACCTCTGTATGGCATGCTGCCTGTAGGAGCTCCTGACACTTCGTTCAGCAGAGACAGGAAGTTGTTATCTGCAGCGTGCTCCTTACCCTTCTGCAGCAAGACATTCACGGCAGCTTCTGTGCGGCCACACACTTGAAGCACCCTGGGAACGGTCCTGGGTGGTGTGGTGGCATCAGCTGGTTTCTCAGCTGGACGAAGGATCACGTGAACATTTGAACCCCAAATCCAAAAGAGTTGACAACAATGTCCTCGGACAGGAATTGGGTGGTCAACAACTTTGAAGTCGGCCGTCAGTGAGAGCTGGGGATGTCAGTGTTTGGACTGTTGAAGTGCAGGTTGGGCGCCCAGACTCCTCGCTCCAAAGAAAGGCACACCTGTAAGTGGGATGAAAACAAAATTTAAAAACACAGGCAAGGTCAAGATCAGAAGTGTATCACGGCAGAAATACTTAAAATAGTGGAAAAGATAATTTCTCTTATAAAGATATGAACAATATAAATAGTCAAATTCTGTTAAAATAATATAATAATGAGGTTTTTTTTTTACATCGACAGATAATCGATAAATTCATTCAATACCAATGAGTTGAAGGGTCTTGTACTACCCTCCAATTCATTCAAAAACTCTTCTGTACTGAATATGAATGCATATTACTCACATACTAATGACTTTTAATCATTGTTTACCCTTTCCTCAATAATAAATTGTAAGTCATAAAAAAGAAAGGCAGTGTGGTGCAGCCAACAATATGCTCGAGTGGAAGGTTTCAAAACAGGCAGATAAAAATAGCAAATGCTTTCTGATATACAGTACATACACATATATATATATATATATATATATATATAATAATAGAAGTTTTTGTTTTTGAATCCTCAGAGCAGCCATTAAATGGAGTTTAATGCACAGTGTCTCACCTTTGCCAAAGCAGCAAGACCAGAAGCCGGTTCTGGATGACCCATGTTGGATTTGGTGGAACCGATGAGCAGAGGTTCTCTCTTTGAATTACAGAATACACCGACGATGCCGTTCACTTCCTGTGGGTCTCCAACCTGCATGTTAAGAGAAGAAACACAATAACATTATCATAAGGTACATGAGTTATACTGTCATCGCCCCTGTTGGGAATCTTT